GCTCGTTAAGCGAGGTTCTACTGTATAATGTTTTGTTTTGTCTCCGTGGTTATGTCAAGAATCCTACATAAACATGTCGTTTCTCCTGTTACTAGTTTCCCCTGGCACCCGAAATCCAGGTCTAGAAATGAAAACCCTGGCCGGACAGTTCTTTCCATATGCGTTCAAATGCCCCATTCGTTGCAGAAAAAGGAAAAGGGGGAGGGGGTAGGTATTTACAGTGCACTATCCATTTATCAGTACTTTAAATTTCAATCTTGCAGATTCTGCAAGGCTCTTGGATTCTCTGACATTATGGTCGTGTCCTCTGTCTGAGCTGGCTAACATCGTTTTCTCGTATGTGTAACAGTGGAATAGATATATCCAGTGGCTATGAAAGTTTCGTCTTAAGACTATTAGACATCCCTTTGTGGGATGCAAGTTTTCGTTAATTTGAAGCCCCACCCTGTCTCTTGCCAGGAGCCGCAATATAGCCTGGCAATAAATATGGCCTAAAGTCTGAACGCTGTGTTCCGGAACCTCTCCACGGGTGATCCTCATCCACATGGTGGCACTTTGTGTCATCGTGTGTTCATCTCTTGTGTGATGTCCTAGTGGGATAAAATACACTACTACTACTAAGTGCCGTCACAGCCCATGATACCCCACCTATCGACAGGTGCAGCTACATTATTCCTCTTATTTCACACTTGCAGACCACCTCCTCTTTTAGGGGGCACAAGATATCCTTCTCCCCAATCTGCAGGTATCTCTACAGTCCCCCAGAATTTACTGTTTTTCTTTTATATGAACAAATTTTTTGTTTCATAATGAAGTTTGTCGAGGAGGAAAAGTAGTTCTCTCGAAATTATTTAAAAAAAAAAAAGACTTTACTGAATAATTTGTGTAGCAATCCGTAGATATGTTTCTGTTGGCTTCTGCCGGGATGCCAACTGGTCCTGCAGTCTTTCTTTCCCTGAAAAGATTTATAACTTGCCTAATTTCCTATTAAGATGGTATCTCACAGTTTATATTCAGCCTTATTTTTTAAAGATTTGATATATAGAGGCACCTCTGAGTTCAGACATTTTTCAAAATATTTAGCCTATCTGTCATTTTACATTGTTGCGTTGGTGAGTACCTTTCCTTTACTATTTTTTATCGATAAAGTTCGCTGACTGTATTTACTTACTGATTTCCTCGTGTTACTGTAAATTTCTCTGGGGTTGCCTTTTGTTGTCACTGTCTTCGCTACATGTGCTATGTCATCTACACATTTCATTTTAACTGTCATTATTTGCCTCCTAACTGCTTTACTAGCTTCTGTGTATTTTTTCTTGAGCTCTATCTTTAGCAAATGCCGTTTTGCTATTGTTTAGGTCTGCCTTTTGCTTTTTTTTTTTCGTTCATTAAAAAAGTTTCAGGCGTTATCCACGCCTAATTCTCCAGCATTTTTTTTTAACATAAGAATAATTCCAAATTCCCGTGATCTGTTCCAGCAGACTTCATTGCTTGTATCCTCACCCTGGTAAGCCTGCTCAGTAGTATTAAGAAATATTTGTGCCTACTTTCACTTTACAGATCCACACCGGAAGTAGTCTGAAATTGAATCCATGCATCGTGTTGATTTTCTCGAACTAAATACTGTTACAGTACAGTTTAATAACTTTAATAACTCAAATGTTTTTGTATAAGAATGACTAGTGCCTTTTGATCAACAAATCTGCGTGTAGTACTTTTCTGATTATTATAGTATAAATCAGTCGATGTGCCCTGACTGGATTAATAGGTTGAATTGATTCTTCTCTTTCACTTTCGGCTCTGCTGTGTGTTAACAAACAGCTGGGAAGCCCAGGTAAGTAAGCACGTGTTGACAGACAACATATTGTAGGTTTGAATTTATTTAAATGAATGTGTCCCAGATAAAGTGTTACAGTAGCTCGTTCTAGCATACGGAGTTTTTAATTTAACTACGCTTTGATTCCGAATGAGTTCAGAAATTAATATTAATAAAGAACACTGCTGTCGGCTATGATGGTGGACGACAAAAAAAAAAAAAAAAAGGCTGTGAACGCCCAACAACCCCCCGTGTGGGTTTCAGGATCCCAGTTTAAATTTTGGTTGACAAAAATCCAAATTAATAGAACCACCTCCTCCCCCCCACCCTACCAAATGTCGTAAAAGTCGTGGGGCTTAGTGGGAGTTACGTCCCTTCGCCAAACTCAAAACAAGTCGCAGAAAAAGTCACGAATCAAATGACATACTTACCTATCATCATCCGGGTGCGTGTAGGGTGTCTATCATCGTCCTACGGTTGCGAGTGGGGCTGCTTATTGCGTGTAGATTGGTTGTTTGCGTAAAATGAGGGGTGGGTTTAGGGTTATGGTTCGATGTGAAAATTTTCACGTAGAAATTCGAAATAGTGGCCGACAATCTGATGCTTGTGGGAGTGGTGCCACTGAAACTCTGCCAAATATGACGCCAATAGCGGGCGGCTGGTGCCCAATCGGTGGCGAATTGTCCGTGTCAGTAGCATCCACCATCCGTCAACTGTTTGCGCGTGCATGCGACTGTGCGCGATTATAGGGAACTACGGCGTCACAATTGTCACATCTAACGCTACACCTAACCCTTAACCCTAACCTCTAACCCTACCCCTCATCTTACACAAACAACCAACCTACACGCAATAAGCAGCATTACACGCAACCGTAGGACGATGATAGACACCCTACACGCACCCGGACGATGATAGGTAAGTATGCCATTTGATTTTGACTTTATCACTTTATCCGCTCGAAGTTTTGAGTGCGGCCACGGGGACATAACTCCCACTAAGTCCGGCGAAGCAGTCGAAGCAGTGCAGCTTACCGGCCAAATCTGCTAGGAGAGCCCAGATATTTATATTGCGGTTTTGCTAACTAACTAACTTATTTTATGGCTCTCCTCCGAAGTTCTATCCGATAATATGGCGGCCAAGCAAATAGCCTAACAGGGCCTCAGTCGTGTGTAAAATGCGGACTTTCTGCCAAGGAACAAATGGCAGCAAAACTAGGATTACTTGACAATTTCAAAAGACGCAACACTGCAGGTGATAGTACCTGACGGTAATAATAGTAATAGCGACCGTTGACAATATCAAGTGTTTCTACAGACGATACTAGCAGGCGATAATAGCGACCATTGACAATTGCGAGATACGCAACATTACAGACGATAGTAGCCACATGGCAGGGAGACCACGCGCTCCGATGCAACCCAGATTAGCGTCGTTGTTGTCCTCACACTTTTGGGCATGCGCAAAGCGCGGTTAAAGTTAAATTCACCGCCGACAGTATCCCCAGGGACGCAGATATGGGTCTAAACTAGATGCCTGGGACTCACGAGGAAATAAAATAGAGGAAGTTGCAGGAAATGCAGTAGCTGCTGCTCGTGAGTCCCAGCCATCTAGTTTAACCCCCCCATCCGTGCGTAGCTTTGCGGGGGATACTGTCAGCGGTGCAGCATAGTCGCAAAAACAGGTCAGCAAATAACATATTGCTGAGACCCTGTTAGAGCATTTATTTCGTTATTCAGAGCCGATCCTAATTTTGCCGCGATTTGTTTCTTGGCAGAAAGTCCACATTTTACACACGACTAAGGTCCTGCCTGATAGGCTATTTGCTTGGCCGCCATAATATTTGGTAGAAGTTCGGAGAAAAGCCTATTTTATTATATTTAATTTTTTTTTTGATTGATCAGTATCAATGCATTTTAAGTTTTCATTTAGTGAAATTCAAATTGAAAAAAACCGCAGTTTAATTGTAAAATTATATAACTATATATTCGACATGACTACAAATTATAGCTAAGAATATTGTTCATCAACCTGATTAACACCTGCAAATAAAAAAATAGAGGACATTGTATTGCGGACCACTGACAGCTTTGAAAAATGATCCATGTATCAGTTTATTTGTTATATTAAAATACAGTATCGTTACCTCATACAATTATGAACCGCACTTTTCAGTTTCAGAAAAATTATTTGTTTTGAAGAAGGTACCAGTAGTGAATGCTCACCTTAAAGTGTTTTTTGAGGTAGCAGTTTTCAAATAAAGGACGACTATAAAGGTGTTGGTACCTTTGTGTACAGTCGGAAAAAAGCCCATGGCCGACCACCTGCCACCAGTTGAGTGTTACGGATGACCTGTTAAAGTACACCCAGAAGCAGCATCCAGTCTACGTGCAGAGGACTTGGACTACCAAACTGGTTTTTTACATACACTTTCTTCTTATTTAAAACAAGTGTGTGTCTTTTAATATCCACTTGGTCAAAATCCATACACAAGTTCATTAACCATGCCCTTTCACTGGATGATAAAATAAACTGATGCTGTTTGCTTGAGCTGTGAAAGTCATCTTTTTATTTCACAGACTTCATAATTTGGCTCATGGGTGCAGTTTTTAAGATTCCCTAGTTTTTCTCCCAGAACTACAGAGCTGATGTTTTGGACAAGTGGCTAGTTTTTTCTGTAGAGAGAGGCCGAGCTTCTTCTTGTTATAGTTTCTTCTTTTCTAGTCCTGTTCTGCATTTCAGTGTTAGGTTTTGAAGAGGCCTCGGGTGCTTAGGATGTCCTACATAACATAGACACAAGTATCTACTGCCTCGGATATTCCATTTACCCATCGTTTGCATGATCAACCTCTAGATATGCTTCTGATATCATGTCTAAGACTCAGGTTTCTCTGAGATATACTATCTCAGTATCTGGCAGTAGTCTTGGCACTGGTTTTGATCTGTTGTCTTTTTATGTAATTTAGTTAGTACTGGTTCTGTCCCAATCTCTTTCTTGATATTGTCATTTCTTATTCCCTCTATCTAGTTACATTTAGGATCTGACACAATGGTTGACCCATAGAGGATAAAACCCAGTACAGTGAACTTGATCACCTCAGCTTAGTATCTCAACAGCTGTCATCACAATATAATTTTATTTTAGGTTTCAGACAACTATCTTGAATCAGCCTACACATTTATCATGTTGAGACGGAGAGCAGCACTAAACACAGCACCAGGGCAGAAAAGAAGCTCAGATGGAGGTCCTGTGACTCATGTTCTTGGGGAAAGCTATAAGGATGACAGAGAAGCATTGCTGGAGGAAGAAGTACTTGGTACTGAGGAGAATGTGATCAACGATCTGCCTAGGGTATGCATTTGTTGTTTTCATTGAACTTAGCACTTCATGTGTTCACATTTTGTTGTTCGTGTTTATTCTGGTGCTTTGTTATCTGTTTTTTTTTTTTAAATTAATGTGTGACTTCTATATTTGTTTTTCATTGTCTGTGTGTGTAATTTGTGTGGGGGGGGGGGGGGGGTATTATTAACTTTTATCATTTAAAAAGATATGATTGAGAGGTGGCAGATTTTGTACAATGTTTTTTTTTTCATTGTCAGTGAATACTTCACTAAGCAAGTCCTTAGTTTTCAGTTGGATGTTTGGTTGCATTTGTTAAAAGCCTGTCTCATTTGATTTCACTTAAATCCTTAGTTATATTTGCATCTCACTTGGCTTCAGTGGAATTTTTGTTTTTAGTTCATCTTCTTTGGTTTCAGCTGATTTGTTGGGTGTCATCTTTGCAGGCCCTAATTTAGTGTAAACAGATAAATAAAGCGGCAGTGAGACAGGCAGGCTTGTCTTAGTAATTAAGTTTCAAGACATGAATAAAGCGTCAGTGAGACAGGGAGGCTTGTCTGAATAATTTAGAACAACAGATGAACAGATCTAGAGGGTGAAATAGTTTGTGGTTAAGAATGGAAAAAAAGGGGGCAGAGGGTCAGTGCATAAATTGTGTCAGGCAAGATGAGACACTTGTCTAGATAGTGAGAATAGCAGAAAAAAGGAATTGTGCGTGCATTTGATAGAATAGTACGTTGGTAATGCACAAGTAATTCTGTCTACCAAGTGATTAGCGTTCTGTTTGACAATGTTTATGAGAGATTTAGATAGACAGATTGTTCATGACTGGGTCAGGCACACTAAGTGGGGACCCTAGAGTTGATTGATGCCATTGAATGCCCCCCATACAGGTCAACTGCAGATTGGCTGTGAGTGACATTACCACACATATTGACATCAGTTGAGTGTCACCACATCACTTAATCCAAGATGTGATACAGTACTGAAACGTGTCTGCTAGGTGATGACAGAAAGCTGCTCCTCTTTGGTGTGTAAGGTTCTAATCACGTTAGGTGAAACAGGCATGCTTCATGCAGAGTGGCAAGCATCACTTCAGATGTCCCAGGTAGTTAGCATCCTTTAGATATTTTCTCCAGGTTATGTTGATGTGTTGGAAAATGTGCAAGCAGATAGATTGGCTGGCTCCGCACCACTTGGTGGTGAATTGATGTATGCCAAGTTAGATATTATGAGGGCCTTTTGGGAGCGAGTAAACATTCCGGAGGCGCAGATATATCATTACGGTCTAAGATGAATGATGCTGCGAGGAGTTACCAGAGGATCTGGCCAATGCTCAACACTCAGGGGAAGGATGAGATGGATATACAATCAGACGATTACTAGTACCATCGGAATTTAAACTCTTCGCTTGCTGCTGAAGATGGGGACTGAGCACTTTTGGGAGTGTCCAGAGTGCTGTGATGTCGATTCTTAATTTAACAATCTGTGGTGCCTGTCAGAAGTGGTGCTGCCATTTTAAAACTATCTTTATGCTGTCACTTAGTTCGTCGGCAGCGTGGTGCCAAATGCTTAACATTCTTGACATCTTTAATAACCACACTTCAGTGTGGAGGCTAAGGTAATGGAAAAGGACTTATTTAGCTATGTTACGACTCAATAAACACTCATTTAAATTAGGTATGAATCAAAAAGCTCTCTGCCAGTGCCTTCGTGCTGAACAGACTCCAGAACTTGTCCTGCAAGACTGTCCTCTCTTGGCGGAGCTGTGGAGCAACGTGGCAACACCCAGTAGAACTGACAACCAAGCTTTGGGGAAACCTAAGAGACCTTGAAAAGACATCCCAGTTTATGACCCACTGTGGATTATGCGCATGACCAGAGATCGCTGAAGAAGAAGAAGAAGCTATGTTACAGAATTTTTGGCCTAGCACATCTAATTTCAGCAAACTCCTGATAGTCAGCTTTTATGGCATGCTTGTTGTGGGGCAATGGGTCTGTTTTAAACCCAAATGGGGAATATGTTTATTGGCTTGCATAAATTGTGATTTGCCAGTTGATTTTCTTTTTTTTAGTTTGGCAGTGAAGACAGAAAAGTGAAAAAGAAAAAAAGACACTCTGAAGAACAAGAGAAGAAATGGGAAGATTCAGATGATGAACATGCGGCAGAGTAAGTTTATTTGTTTGTCTTCATTAGTGTTACATATTTTATGCCACAACATTAGGTTTTTGTTCATAAAGGCCATTTAATATTGTATCAGTCAGTACTACTTATGTCTTTTTTTGTGCCATTATTGTCCATAAGGCATTCACAAGTGACATCTCCACTGCTGCTAATCTACTGTTTTTGTGCCTGTGATATCCCATATTAGTTTACACTTTTTTCCTTGTCTGATATCATTCTCCAGATTTTGTTAGGTTGTCTATGTCTCTTTTTTCAATCTGCCATCTGCAAGATTTATTTGCTTTATTATATTCACCTGTTACTTTAGTATGCACTTCAAAAGATACAACAAAACATACCAGGCAATAAATTGTAAAGCCTGTTATTTGTGTCTTTTATGTTCAAATTTACTTCTTCTTCTTCTTCACTTCCTCTTTTACCGCTGTGGGTGTCGAGGGAGATATAAGGTTCTGTTTCTAGCTCTTCTGGCTGCCTCGACCATAGGCACATCGTGCTGTTGTAGAGTTTCTCTGATGTTATCCTTCCATCTTGTTCTTGGTCTACCCCGTGCTCTACGTCCTTCTTCTCTTACCATGTATGCTTTGTATGGTATGGTGTCACAAGGCATTCTCTCTAAGTGGGCAAACCATTTCACTTGCTGTCTTTGTATGTAATCCAGAATTGGTTCTGTGCCGACTTGTTCTCCTATGATCTCATTCCTGATCTTATCTCTTATGGTCACTCCTACAGCCCTTCTCAGACATCTCATTTCCGTGGTTACTAATTTTTTTTTAATGGTTTGTTGTGAGTGACCATGTCTGCCACTGGTAGCACAGAGTTGGAATAAATATGCTTTGAATAAGATGTCTCTTTGTGTTGATTGGGATTGTCTTATGCTGTAAGAGGGGAGCTAGCTGTCCCAATACTTGGTTTGCTTTACTGCATATAATGTCAATTTCTTTATCCAATTTCCCATCTTCGGTAAATGTAGTTCCCACATATTTAAACTCAGATGCCTGTTTAATGCCTTTGTATTCTATTGCTATGTTTAGATCTGTCTTCTTTTTTCCTATTGACATTACTTCTGTCTTTTCAGTGTTGATTCTCATATTATTTGTTTTACATTCTTCATTCATGGATGTTAGATGTTGTTGCAATTTCATGGCTGTATCTGCTATCAAGGCCTGGTCATCTGCAAAGAGTAATTCGTTGATCTTACTAAGATCTTCATTCATGGGCTTGGCATTCTTGCATATACTGTCGATGTAGGTGATAAACAGCAGTGGTGATAAGACACACCCCTGTCTTACTCCCGATGTCACTGTGAAAGGATGAGATGTTCCCTGATTTATTCTAACTACACTTCTACAATCCCTGTATAAACTTTTGCACACTTCGATGAGGTGTTCGCTTACTCCATATCTTGCCATTATTTTCCATAATAATTGTCTGTCGACTCTGTCAAATGCCTTCTCCTGGTCTTCTCCTGTCCACCACCATCTTGGTCTGCCAAATAAGTTCTTATTGTATTCAATGTTCTTTTCTATTAACTGTTTAAGTGTGAAGATTGCATCTGTGCAGCTTCTATTTCTCCTAAATCCCATCCAAATTTACTAATAAGTATAATTGTTTTAATCAGTTATTACATTATCAGTTGCCTTATGTTTTAAGAGGGGAAATTAATAAGTCACAAATGGTTGTTAAAAAAAAAACTTAGCGCTATAACAACCTGAAAACCGTTTATTTTTTAGACATACACTGTCCCTTTATTTTTAAACATAATTTCCACCAACATTGATGCACTTGTCTCATTGTTTTATCAGTCCTCCCAAACCTGCTGCATAAAACTGTGCTCTGTTTTCTAAACCACATTTTCACTTCACGTTCAACTTCTGCGTCATTTGCGAAATGTCTCCCGCCAAGTTGGGTTTTCAGTGCACCGCTTTACGGATAAACATTTGTCAGCATAAACAGGAAGCATTACCTTATGAATGTCCTTTGCAGGCCGCCCATTTGCCTCTACAAAAACAACACACAGCAGCACGTTGTTCTTTGAGGTTACACTCCATAAGTACAGTCACCATTTTGTTTTTGTGTTGTGAACACGCATGCATCATCATTATAAACCACTTCTTAAGCGTCGTGGGGAGGAATAATTTGCGATCCAGTGCACGTTGGCTGCCACTGGCTAACACGCATGCAACACCTAATAATTGCTGTCACCTAACAATACCTTTAGAAACCACCAACTAAATTTTCCTGCCATCCCATAACCATTTGTGTCTTACTGACTCCCCGTCATAATTAGGTTCATCTTCTCAAGACATTGTGCTTTTATGACTTTTTTCTTTATAAATTCTTCTACATCTGTTGTGTTGTGGGAGTCTCAGAGAACTTTCAGTTACTTATAACCACACATTTTAAAAAATTGGACTTCTTGTGTTGACATTACCAGAACTGCACATAATGAGAAGAGAAAAGAACAAAACATTAAGACTATCAGTATATTCTTGACTTAATATGGATTCTAAATGTTCTTCACAGGTTTGATACAATAAACCCATCATGGGCCGGAAAATTTGATGATGAGAAATCAGAAGGTTAGTACAGCTATGAGTTAACATTAACCTTAAGGTAGTAGGACACATAGATGGGTCAAAAACTCTTCAATCACAGAATCAGACAATCATGTGTATTTTAAGTATGGACTTACATTTGTTTTTAACATATTGAACTTATTAAGTATGCTAATTAGCTATCCATTGTGGCCACAGCAGTGCATAAATTAGATCCTTTAAAAAAAGCATGACTATGGTATTTGTAAAATAATGTGACTGTAACTTGAGAGCTTCTCGGAGATTGGTTCCAGGTTTGTGTTGTCGCAGGGCAAGAAGGTTACAGCTTTAATATTGGCCTGCAGGCTGCCTAGGCCCTCATAAAATTAACAAAAACTTGCGCCTGTTAATGTAAGAATGGTGTCAATCCAAATCAAGAGTGTGTAATCTCCGCAGGAATATATTGCAGAGCTCTCAGTCGTCTCTCAGCCATACGGCATAGATTATAAGAAGAAGAATTAAAATAATGCGGATACAAACAATACAATATACTATTTAATGCCTAAAATCTTTTGCTGTTTCATCAGGTGCACTACTGCAGAGTTTATATCTTCATATAATAAAGCACAGAACGTGAGTTTTTTAAATTGAATTGTTCAGCTCACCATGGAAGCCTAAGGGCAATTGCATGATCCTTTTGTTGACATAACATGTGATTGCTTGTCCTCTTCATTCACTGTTAAAATATAACTTATTTTCTTATTGTCAACAGACAGTGATGAGGAAGCATTGAAAGCTCACAGCCATAACATTCTAGCAACCTCAGTCACACTTCCCTCTACTTCTCTGGACTTCAAAAGGGTCACAGATGGAAACAAAGAGGATCCCAGCAAGGTGCTTTAGATACTTGTTAATTTATTCTTTTTATTAGTTTTTTTCTTTGCGTTTATCAGCTGTAAACTCCGGCAGAAAATTCTGGTTCTTCGTCCACTTCTGGACTTTAGTCTTGTTCTACAACTTTAGTTTTATGTGTACAGCCATGGGTGAGTTGGATCTGCAGCACTTTGTTTCCCTGGTTATCTCCTCACTGATATCATTGTCTCCTGTTGCAAGCCTTTAGCTTTAACCTCCAGTTAGGTTTTTAAAAGTGTCATGTCTTAATGTGTTTGAAATATTTAACTGCTGCCTTCTTTGTCTTTCATTCATGAATCTCCCCCGAACCCCCCCCCCCCCCCCCCCCCCCCCCCCCCCCGCCTTTTCCTCAGAATTTCTCATTTAATTCCCATACTCTATAACTTTTGTATGAGATTATTGTTTCCCGTTTCTATAAAAAACAGCATATTTCTCTTTATATCCATATTTCTTGTGTTGGTAGTTTCGCTTCCTGATGGCTTGTCTAGGTTTCTACATTCATTTGATTTACATAGAGATTAAGAGTTTCTTTTAAGGTGCATGTTTATTGATTATCAACTGCAAATTTGTAATGTATTTTTTTCTTCCAATTAATGAATGGTTAAATAGATGGGGAAACCAAATTTTTGGGCCCCCCACCCCCTCTTTTTCCATTTGGTTTGGGGGGGGGGGCAGTAAAAAGACTTATGTATCCTCCTTTTCAGGAGATTGCAGAACCAACCTCAACATGTTTGATCTGTTTTGGTTTTCCTAGGCAGTTTTACTTTAGGTCTTTATACCGTGGTCAGAATCTATACAAGGCCGACCACTGTCAAATCACCTGCTGCTAGAATTGGGCTAGAATTATAAAGCGTGTTTGCAACGCCCAAGCCACAGATGCCATAATAAGAGGTTAATTAGAAGCTTGCTGTTGAGCTAAAAGACACAGGTATGACGGCCTAGCTGTAAACCACAACACAACATGCTAATTACCTGTTTATGGCTGAATGCACAAGAAGACTTTGTTGATAGGCATTACACACACAAAAAGAGCCTGAGAAAGTAGTCACATACGTGTGACACAGTAACTGTTAATGACCATATAAAACAACACACTACACTGTCAGATTTATATTTGTATTTTTATTTAAACACATTGCCATTTATTATGCTCTATAGTCCAGTCTGTGGAGTGTGGAGTTTCATCCGAAAGCAACAGTTTTGCTTACTGGAGGACCAGATAACACAGTTCGTCTTTTTGCTGTAAGTACACATTTTTCCTTCATCATTGTGGCCGGCTTTTTAAAATGACAGATGACAGTTTAGTAATACATCCTCATATAGCAGGTCCTTTGCAGATTTTGGGGGTCTTTTTCACCCCATTTCATGGGCTGCAAAATTGGGTAGGGAATTCCTGTTGAGCTCTATCTGACAGTTCTATATTGTGGGGGGGGGGGGGGGGGTATTAGTTTAGTTCTTCTTCTTCTTCTTCTTCTTTTGTTTGCCTGAAATAGATGATCTATATCTGCAGTGTTATCTCTAGTGTGAACTTTACTGTCTTGTGTAATTCACTCAGCGACCTGTAAATTCAGGTTGAATTGGTGTTTCTTTTGGCCAGAACTTAAGCAATGGGATGCAAATTGGGGATATTTTGAGGGCAGGTCTTGACAGACAGTCTTCATGTACGTATACTGGTGGGTTAGGGTTAGATGCAGCTTTGATGAGAGGTCAAGGAAATTCTTGGCGAAGGCGAGGTCATAAAGTAAAAACACTGTTTCCAAATAGGGCATAGTGATGGCAACAAACAAAGGAAAATGACGATGCAATAAAAGATGAAAACGCTGAAAACAACCCTAGAGTTTAGAAGTCATAGTGGTTTAGGGTTAATGTTAAATGAACACCAGCAAACTCTGACCCTAACTTTAACACCCCCAACCCCCTATAATATAGGACTATCCATAAAATTCTGTACAAAATCTCATAGCCTCCAAGATGAGAGTGAAAAAGTGGAAAAGAACCGATTGTTGCTCCCATCACAGCTGCCTGTAAGAAACTCAGTCACTTTCCTGCCTCATGCACTTCCCTGCCTCATGCCTTTCCCTGCCTTAGTTGTCTCTTGTGCCCATCTTGTGCTGGTCGGCTGCCCTGATTTTCTTATCTTTTATTGTGCTATCCTCCCCTGGGTACTGTTCTTTCTAGTTCACTGTGGTTTTGAATTGGCCTAAGTATGTCAGTTTCTGGGACAGTATTCTTTTTATGAGCCAATTTTCCTTGATTTTCAGATCTTTTAGGGTTTCAGTATTTCTTTTCTTCTTGGTCCAAAATATTCTAAGAAGCTTTCTTTTGCATTTCCGCAACTTCATTGATTATATTGATTTTATTATTATAGAATGCCATAAATATTATATTATGGTCCTGTGGAGCAGCTGTAAAGATAAGTTGACGTCAAATTATTCCTTAAACGTCAGTTTATGTTTAGACGACGGATCAACATCAGGGCACACGCGTATAACCCATAAGTGTTCCGTTCTATTTCTTCTAATTCAAGCCTGAATCTGAAGAATTTTAGCGCAGTGCACTAACTCTTTAGGTACATTTTAAACCCAAAATGTTTGCCTGGGCAGCAGGTATTGGGCTGCTCTTTTCGATGTCCAACTGCCAGGAGATTTTTCAACGTGCACAAGAATACACACAGGCGTTCGAACATTCAAGCCAGAGACCAGGGAAATTTACTAGATGTTAACATGAAAAAAATCCCAGCCTTCACCAGGGCATTAACTCGAGGCGGACACAATACCTCAGGACCATTTAAACCTCAGTGATTTAGGTCACTGGGTCATGGCATGAATTACCCTGTATGTATGAATTTGTGTATGTATGTATAAATATGTGTAGTTTTGGGTCCCAGAGTATGTATCAGCTTTAATGCTTCACTGCTCATGTTTATTATTGATTTCCTTTATATGTTTTTAATATATTTCTAAACAAAGTTTTAAAATAACTTTAAAAAAAAATGTATTAGTGACATATGTAAAATTGTTTTTAAGGAATGGAAAAGGGGGTGGGGATTCCCACAGGGTCATGACCCACATTTTGTTTTCCGCATTTCCAGAGCAAGAAAGTTAACTGTTATATACTTTTTACATCTCAAGGTGGGTTAAAAAAAAACCTTGATTTAGACATTTTTAAACATCTTTTACTGTGAGATTTTGTTACTGTAATCTGTGATACATTACTGACTGAAATGGTGGCTGTTTACTTGTGAATCTCGGCCATCCCAAGACTTTGGGGTTCAGTGCTACAGCCTCTGGTCATCTCTGTGAATGACTTTCCAGTGACTCCAGATTTTGTAGATATTCCTGAGTGTTATCCGTCCACCACCGTCCTGGTCTGCCAATTGGTTCTGTCATTATTATTAGTTTAAAGTTGAGAAGATCCACTTCATTATACTGAGTGTTTTCCCATCTGACTCTGTCTCTATTCATAGGTAAGGCTTGCTGCTTGCCAAGAATATTGCATGAAGCAAAGCTCGGTGTTGGCATCTGTGGCTTAAGCATTGCGAATGGGCTTCCTAATGCCGGGGTGGCTGGTTCGATTCCAGCTGCGGGCATTGGTTTCAGCAGTAGTATCGAGAAGCCAACTTTTCAGAAGCAATGGCAAACTACTGGGCATAAATTTGCCTTGAAAAACCACAACAGCTAAAAAATGCTGCGGTTGGTTTTACAATGCCCTGTTACACAACTAACAAGTTTTGTAGCTTGATTGTCAATCCCCAAAGTCTCCAAAAAAATTTACTCTGTGAATGGAACAAATATTTAAATAAGTATTAGTTATTACTTGCAATAGTTTGTTGCCTGTTTATTTAAATATTGTCTTAAATAAAAAAAAATTATCTCAGGTCGACGGCAGCAAGAACAGAAAAATACATAGCATGTTCTTTGAAAGGACGCCAGTGTTCTGCACTCACTTCAGTCGAGGAGGCAGTGAAATCATCGTTGGATCAAAGCACAAAAGTTTCTATGTTTATGACATGGAGGGAGACAGTGGAGTCACATTCAGGCCTAAACTGAAAGGTAAGTTTGTCTGTCTCTTGTAAGTCTATACCTGTAGTTTGCAGACTATGTTGTGCCCCACACTTGTCTACATTTATATTTTTCGGCATATCTGATATCAGTCTATTTTTCTTTTCATTTTTATATAATCTTCTTCATTGTGTTCACCAGCTGTAAACTCTGGGGGAAAGTTCTGGTTGCTCATCCACTTCTGGACAGTCCTGTTCCAGAACCTGAGTGTCGCGTCTGCATCCGTTTTACAGATCTGACTTATTTGTATGCAGACTGCTGGTTCCTTCATAGATGCACTCCGACTTTAAAGGAAGCTCCAAATTAGTCAACTCTTTCGACATGCTTTTGGGTAGGCAGTGGGTCTATTCTTGTTTTCCTATAACAGTGCCCCAGAACACAGACAGGGAATTTTTATATAAATGAATATTACAGATTGTGGGATTGTTTTTTTTTTATTAATTTTTGTAGCAAAACATGTCTCTTGCTCGATTCATTCATATGAACTGTTCAAGGTATTTGTGTGTTGTCTCTCCCTCCACAGCTCATCCTTCTCGGCTACTTTTGTGATTGTTCTGTTATTTCTCCTATTGCCAGCAGCTACCACCGTATCTTATATTTCAAATACTGTGTGTAAGCGAGCTCATCACACCACACACATTCCGCATAGAAAGGATCTGAATGTGTTAGCTAAAAACAGCATTAAGGCATTTTTTCTGTGATCCAGATAGCTTTTTTGAAGCCCAATTGATATCAGATTTATTGGAGCTTAACTGATCTAGGTTACAGATTCATTGTATTTCAATTCACAGACTACATATTGGGTTTTTGAGGCTCAGGCGAATGCATTCTATTTATTGTTTCACTCTATGTTTATTTATTTTTTATGTATGAAATAATACATAAATTTTTTTTTTTACATTTAAAATGCTACCTGTGTTGAATTATGGGTTTTTAGAGTTTGTTTTTTCATGAATTCCCATGGGGTATGACCTATTTGTTTTTCAGTGTTACCGAGGTGACTGGGTTAAGATGGCAGGTGGCACTTTGTATTATGGTTTACAGCTAGGCTGCATATCTCCCTTTTGGCCCAACTAAAGATTATCCAATTTTAGCGAAACCCTATTCAGATGCCTTATGCATCACACTTGTTAGGGAGCATCTGGGGGTGTATACCCCGCCCACCCCCCATCCCTAAGAAACCTAGTTCCACTGTAGCTGAATAGAAGGTTTACTCTCCCTCCTGAGAGATCCTAACCTGACTTGTTAATATAAACATGTAATTGTCTTTGACTCAGAGTGGCATGTTTATTTTTGTTGTTATTTTGACAGTAAATTGCTCTTTTTCTTTATCTACAGGACTGGATGTTACAGCGATGTCCAAGTTTGTGGTCTCGCCCGACAACAGGTTTATCGCTTTTCTTGGCACGTATGGATACATACATCTGTTTTCTCAAACGGTAAGAAAAATTCAAACAGTTTGCCATATCAGGAACTGCAGTTTGAATTTGAAATAGACTAAACTAACAGAAATACAGCAGCTTGAATACTTAAATTGAATATTTAAATAATTAAAATTTATAAAATGAAGAACATCTTGTGCAATATATCTTTGTCATTGAGAGTTAAAAAAAGAATTCTTGCTTGCTACATACATCCAGTTTTAACATATGTGAATCCTGAACAATCGCTAGGCAGGCCAAACAATTTCTTGAGGCCTCAGAAATGTGGTTTTACAGAAGAATGCTTAGAATACCTTGGACAGCCAAAAAGAGCAACCAAGAGGTTTTGAAAGAGGCGGGAGCTGGAAGGAGACAAAGTCATCATTTTTCGGCCATGTTATGAGAAGAGGGAAAATAGAACATGTTGTGACCACTGGAAAGATCTGTGGAAGGAGGGATAGAGAAAGACAACGAGAGAAGATTCTTGACAGTCTTGTTGCATGGCATGGAGGTGTGTTGGCACACAAACTGATACATGCTGCAGGAGATCGCAGATTGTGGAGAGGCATGATCGCCTACGCTATGCCAGTCAGCAAGGCACTTGATAATGATGATGAATACTGCTGATTTGTTGTCTTTATGTTAGCCCTTACCCCTAATTTGTTTTGGGGGGAAATATAAGTATTGCTCCATATAAATGAGTATCACTTTGAAAACACAGCTCTGAATAAACATATTTTTTTTACACATCTTCAACCAATATATACACCTACAGAAGCATTGTTTCCAACAGATATACTCGATGTCAGTGGGAGTTTCGCCTGTCCTCAAGGCATAACATAAACCATAGCATTGCACATTGTCATCTTTATAAAACTTGTTGAGACTACTGACTATGGAATTCGAAGAGGGGAACATTTGTCCAATAGGTGGCTGCTTCTGTTGATCAGAAGACTCCATTTGTGCTCGTTGCAATGTTGTTTCCGAACTACTTAATGGAGTCTCATCTTGAGTGTAACTGTTTTTTTCCATGGTGTTTCAATTATCATTTGTATCATACCTAACTTAAATATTTGTTTATATTTTTCGTAATCATCTTTTCCTGTCTAATAAATAAATTGTTATGACTATTTCTAAAAGGGACGGTCGCATTTACAAACATCACAACATTTTGACACACATTCCTTCTTTCCCCATCAGAGCAAGGAACTGATTGACTCTGTCAAGATGAATGGGGAGGTTTGCAGTGTGTCATTCTCTAATGACGGCAAGTTTATGTACACATTTGGAAGTAAGTCATGCAATGTTGTTGATTTTCTGTATTTTTGTAGTTGTATGTGTCAGACGTGTAATTTTTTTGTTGTGACTGGTTTGAGGTTTAAACAATAGATCAGACTCGTGGCACACGGCTAGTAACCCATAAGTGCTCCGTTCTTCTTCTAACTCAAGTCATTGTCCGAAGAAGCTGTGCACAGGCTCTGTAGCACAGGCGAGGATCCTGAAATACTTTGATTAGATTTTTAACTCCAAATTTTGCCTGGGCAGCGCTGTTAGGCTACTCTTTCCGATTTCCAACCGCCAAGAGATTTTTTGTGTGCGCAACAATGCACATGGGCGTCCAATCTCACTACTCAGAGACCACGTGAAAAATCCCAGCCCTTACCAGGGATTGAACCCGGAACCTCTAGCACTCGGGGTGGACACCATGCCTCGAGACCACGCAGCACCCCTGTTGTGACTATATTCCTTCTGTTTTCTGAAGACAGTATCCATGTTTGACATTGATAGCATAGCGTTTGTAAGAATATTGTTTTCAACAGTGCTCGTTTAATGTACATATACATATGCCTATATTTCAGAATTGGTGCCATTTGGTCTTTAACTTGATTGGCTTTATTGCATCATTGTTGGATTACTTTATTAATTTCTCTATCTTCTGAAACACACTCCTCCCCCCCCCCCCCCCCCCCCCCCCCCCCCCCCCCAATATGTGACATCTGTTGCCTGCTCTAACTGGTGTTCATCAGCTTTAATATTGACGGTTCTTACTTTTTTTGAGAATGTCATCACTCCTGTTTTGTGTACGTTGATCTTTATATCATAGTCTTCACATGATGAGTGGGGTCTGTTGATATGTTCTTGTGGTACTACTGTGGTGGGTAGCACATGGAGAAGATGCTAGTGATGACAGAGAAGTCAGTGACAAGTTTGTGAAGGAATTTCAGGAACTGATTTCGCATATGAATTAAAAAAATATACAAAGGAATCGTCACCAGAGCTACGGGGCATGTGCTTTGCGCTTGACACATTTTTCAGCAGTTCGTGAAGAGAGAGTGAGGAGGAGACGAAATGGGGAGAGAAAAAGGCACAGAAATACAGCTCCGAGGAAAGGCAAGACAACGTTTAATCAGAAGTCTACTAGCACCATTAGTATTGGAACTCTTCATTGGCTGCTGAAGATGGGGACAGAGCACTTATGGGAATGTTCTTGAATTAAATCAAATCATTCAGGAACTGAGAATGTCATCAATAAGGAGGGACATTGCCAGGACTCAAGCCGTTGACAGACTAACTTTGCCCATGTGTGCCCGTGGTGGTCTGAAGGTATAACCTCTGATGGTTTATCACTGAGAATTCTACCCTTTAAATTAACAGTTATTAACCAACACAAACTTAATTTTTTAAGTAGGAATGAGTAGGTTTGTAAGTCGAGGTACCTGTGTAAGTCATAAACAGCGACTAATTAAGGCCATGTGTGGGTGTTCAGAACAGTGAAATTGGGTCAGCTCGATCATTTTTAGAAAAAGGTCATATTTACACACCTTAGTATGTCTTCTGTGAGATTAGGTATTTGTTTTTGTCTTAAATATGTTATTTTTAATGCAATATTAATATTTTACTGAGCTAACCCTAGCTGTGAAATTATTTGTTTATTGAAATTTGTTACAAAATTTGTGATTTTTAGCACTTAGCACCTGAAAGCTGTAAACCACAGTACATTCTTCCAACTGCATATTGTAAAGATAAATGAAGAAGAAGAATTCATGTTCTCTGTTTTGTGTTGTTGTTTACAATTCATTTTGAAGAGACTGGGCAGTTGACTAATACACTGAATGACAGTAGGGTTAAATGTTATCCCCAGGTGAAGGTCATGTGTACATCTGGGACATGGACACCAGAGACTGTGTTCATCACTTCAGTGACGAGGGCTGCATCAATGGAACCAGTGTCACTGTCTCACCAGACGACAAGTATATAGTTTGTGGGTAGGTTCTTTTTGATTGCTTGTCAGTGTTAATGATGTAGCGGCTTTTTTATTATGGTTGGATAGTTCCACTCTTTCTTTATCCTGTGCAATATGATCTGTCAGGCAGATATTTTTTTTAATGCTTTATTTATTTTTGTTTAAATTTAAAAAAAAAATATTTACAAAAACTGTTCCACCTGTATTGTGATGAATGTTTTTTTGCCGCACTTGTCTCTTATATAAATTTTGACTAATGAAGAAACATGTTAAATGAGGTCTTTCATGACAGCACTATAGATAAATCCATAAGCTCAAAGGGCTGATTATGCCTATACTGTGTTGCTTATTCAAACGTCTTTTGCCTTAGTGAAATGTTAACTCTGACAGCTGTAGGCTTAGACTTGATACCCACCCAGCTGGTTAGGGATATGGAGTGATGCCTTTTGAGATAATCATTTTCATAAAGTGCGCCATACATGGCATTGATAACTTCACTTCTGTCCATTACTGAACCAGTCATAGAGACTGCATCATCCATCAGATAAGCTGCACGCTTGTCTGAAAACCTGCTTGTCTAGTCAGAAGCTTAAACATAACCTAGGCAATTCTTTCAAAAGAATTTATAAAGATTTTTCTGAAATTTAAATAGGGATAAGTGTTTTATTTCAGCCTATGAGGACGACCTAGCCTTGTGTAGGTACCAGGTATACTCCTGGGAAGTAAAGGTAGCGGGCATGATGTTGACCACATCACCCATCAAAGGCAGTTTGTTCTATAAAACTGTGTCTAGCTGGTGCTTTATTAATATCCTACCCCAGATGTCATCACAAGACAGTCCAACATTTTAGAGGGTGGTAAGACTGGGTTTCCCAGCTTTCTAATGCTTTTAATGACCCCACATCTAGAACTGGCCCTAACCCATACCCACCTATGTCCCACGAGAGAGTGCAGCCTAAGTCCCACGACTGCATGCAGCCTATCTACCACCCCCTCAAATATTAGACTGTCCCATGACCTGTGGATTTCCCCTGTTTGGGGTAGGATACTAATAAAGCACTGTCTAGCCTCGTATGGCTAGTGTGCCTCTGGTGTGTAAAGGGATCTTTTTACTGCCCTGATTGCATCGTGTAGTTTCATCCTGTGTATGCTGGGGAAGGTCAGGACAGGCTTGCTTCATGCAGAGTAGACAGCTTTACTGTGGAGGACACGGGTGAGGAGTATTGCCTGGATTTTTTCTCCGGCATGTGCCGGTGTGTTGGGAAATGAACAGGCGGACAGAATTGCTGGCTGTGCGCAGTTTGGTGGAATACTGATGCATGATAAGGCAGAGGTGGTTAGTACCTTGTGCGAGAGATCGTGTACAGTTTGGAGGAGCAGATGCATCACCACAGTTTATTGAGATTGATACAGTGGGATGTGACGAGGAGTTCTGGCAGATGCTCCAGGCTCAGAGGAAAGGCAAGACGGACATTTAATCAGAATGCCACTGGCACTGTTAGTATCAGAAATCTGCGCTGGCTGCTGAAGATGGGGACGGAGCGCTTAGGGGAATGCCCCAAGTGCTGTAATGTCGGTTCTTGAATCAAATCAAATCAGATCAATCCTGTGCATGTAGTTTGTATTTTTGCATTTCAGATCAAAGAGTGGCATAGTCAGCATTTATGACAGGGAGACAGCCATGTTGTCAAGAATGCCCAAGCCACTGAAACATGTCAAGAACTTGACCACCAAGTGTTCAGGGCTCTTGTTCAATTCCCAGTCTGAGATTCTGGCAATAAGATCCAAAGATGTTGAGAAAGCCATCAGACTGGTTAGTTCATTCTTTGTTCCCTCTTGTGTGGCCATGGCTATGAAGTTAACTCTTTAAGTCCAAGCCGGTTTAGCATCACAACCCAGGATGTAGTAAAGTAAGTAATAAATTCAGCGCATCTTGCGTTCATTGGGCTTCTGGGTAGGAACCTATGTAGGTATGATGCCTTCCTTGGGACTCAAAGAGTTAACCATTAACCAAACAAATTGTTGACACATTCCGTTTCCTAGGACAGCTTTTATCGAGTTTGCTCTCTAGACATGTGCGGTCCCCTGCTGATGGGATTCTGTCTTTCCAAATGAGTCGCCACAGTCAAAACATTACAAAGGCAGGGTCGTCGAGGCTGCCAAAATTATTGGTCATTATTCTACCCCGACATAGCACAACCACAATACATGCTGCTCACATGAAAAACACATTGTATCCTGCGGTGGAAAATTCGCACAAAATAGCAGAATAGGGAACAAAACAATCTGAGAGAAATTACAACCAGTGAAAAAATACACTGCTGCTACTCGCCATTTTGAAACAGGAACCCTCTTGTGTGAGATACATGGGACCTGGTCAGGGTTGCCAGTTTTATTTGGGGGGGGGGGGGGGGGGGCTTCTTCGAAGATGAAGAAAAATCCAGGACGCGAGCTGGAGAGCTGAAAACTTTTTCCTTTGCCCAATAACTTTTAAATGGATTAGGTCACATTAACATTCTGGAAGGCGGGCATACGCCAGTTGTCAAGGCACTTGATGATAATGGTGAACTGTAGCATCATGGTTGGAAGTAACCCTGTTTTCTGCTTGTTAACGAAACAAAAAAACATTGTTTTCAAACTAATAGAGTGATTTTTAGAGTTGTTTTCTGTCAGGGAAAAAATCAAAATCCTAATGAACATGCGCAGTTCATGTTGACTATACTAGTCATAGAGCCCTAAGTCCCTAGGCTCAAACACAGTCATAACAGATAGTATAATGGGCATTGGAGGCACTTAATTATTCTTCTTTTTCTGTTTTTTTAAAAAACTTGTTTGTTCTTCTTTTGCATTTGAAAGATTTGAAAACAGCGGTTTCACATTATACTATACAGTTGGGCTGTGATATCTGCAGTTTTTGACCCAACACTTACCAATTCAAACAACTCAAGATTAGTCGCCTTTTTGTGATGTTCTTTTCCCCCAGTCCAATTTAAACAAAACTCTAGTTAGTTACCTTTCCCACCCCCCTTGCCCCCACATCCATTTTAAGTCGCCTGTTGCATGCCTTATGGGGGGAGGGTAGTGGGTCTATTCCATTTTCCCTCCAAACTGAGGCCTTGGTGAATTTTATTTCCATTTACTTTTTGGTGAGCTTTAAATTTTGTCTCATTTCATAAATTATACATTTTTCTTTAAAGGTCCATTTTCCATCGATGACAGTGTTGCCAAATTTTCCTGAGCATTTTGACAATGATTTGAAGATGTTGATGTGTATGGACTTTTCCCCATCCAGTGGCTACCTGGCACTTGGCAACAACAAAGGACGTTGTTTATTGTACAGGTAAATTTTAATACAATTTCTGATTGTGTAACCAACACTTTTTTAATTGAAGTTAAATTTTACTGTTGTTTTAAAATGTTTATTTTGGTCATCACAGTAGATCTTTCTAAATAAAGTATTGTATGTTTTGCTTCTTTCTCTTCTTCTTCTTTCTCTTCATCTTCTTTATCTCTTCTTTGAATTTCTGTTTCATTTTTCTCCTCCTGATTTACTTGTTTCATCCTCATACTTTATTCCTTCTCTTCTTGCTTAATTCTTCTCCACTTTTCTCCAATTTTCTTTCTTTTTTGTTTTTACCCCTCTCCTTTTTTTCCTACTCTCTCTTCTTTTTTTCTTCTTCTTTTTTCCTTCTCCCATTTCCTCTTCTTCTGCTCTTTGAGCATTTTCTGCCATCTTCTGCATTCTACATCCATCTTTTGTCATTTTTTCCCCCTCCATCTTCATTTCCTCCAGTTGTTCTTGTTCTTACTCAGTCATGTCTTTCTCTGATAAAATTAGCAGTCGGTCCTAGGATTCACACATCCCCGCAAGCTTGACCTGTCAGGTTGAGAAAGCAGTCATTTGATTTTTTCATTTAATTATTTATTAGTTTCTTTATAAAACTTTTAACTTTTTTAAAAATTTTCTTCAAATAACAATGTTCAGTTTAATTTTATTGGTGTTTTTTTTTTCTAACCTTCCAGATTGCACCATTACACAAAGTACTAGAGCACCATGTTGTATTGGAATACCAAACAGATTTAACAAGTGCCCAAGTTAATAAGCACAGTGTGAGAGCGAAATTTGAAAAGTCATTATCTGTATAAAAATGCAATAACATCAGTATGTCTGGGGTTTAAGACACGTTTCTATAAGGTTTTTAGTATACAAACACGAGAGAGCGTACAAACTCCAGGGAACGGGGCACTGGACACATTCTGTGAGGCAATAAGGCAGCGCCCTAGAAATGTTGATAAGCACTTGTGCTGACACCCTAGAAATGTTGATAAGCACTTGTGCTGACACCCCAGAAATGTTGATAAGCACTTGTGCTGACACCCTAGAAATGTTGATAAGCACTTGTGCTGACACCCCAGAAATGTTGATAAGCACTTGTCCGGACACCCCAGAAATGTTGATAAGCACTTGTCCGGACACCCCAGAAATGTTGATAAGCACTAGTCCGGACACCCCAGAAATGTTGATAAGCACTTGTCCGGACACCCCAGAAATGTTGATAAGAACTTGTGATGACATTTTTAGGGGTTTGGGTGCCTTGATCTTTATCGCCTAATGATAGATTTGACTGATTTATAGGTTACTATGGATTTTTATATTGTTCTAGGGTTATTCTTCTGTACATAAAGTACTAGAGCCCTGAGTGGCAGGGGGGTATCAAACTACATTATTAACCTGTGGCATTGTGTGGTGTCGAGCCAAAACATGATAGTGGTTAGTGGTGCTTTTGCTGAGAGAAGTCTGGGCTCAGTTCCCATCAGTTGATCTGATCTCATTGAAAAGGTCTCTGGTGATGCTGAGAATTTTAGTCTATAGTAGAAATAATGTTCACAAAGAAGTGTTTTGATCATCTGAGGGGCAATGAGACAGCCATTCTAGGAGCTTACTGAGTGTGTCTACTGCTATTGTTAAGACTGTTGATGTTTACTGCATAACGATGTATTCAGTTGATTTGTTATGTTACTTTTACTGCATAACGATGTATTCAGTTGATTTGTTATGTTACTGTGCATTTGTTCGAAGAAGAATACATTTCCTATGAATGAATTAAAACTTAGTTACGTCATTGCCTTTTTAATCACTGTAATGTATGGTCCATTCACCATGCTTTAGGACCTTGATTTTGCAGATGAAATAGCACTCCTATCACATAAACATGAACATATACAAGAAAAAAGTAACAGACTACACAGCACAGCAGAAATGGTGGGACTGAGAAACAAACCAAGGAAAACTAAGATTGTGACAAACAGTCCAAACGAACAACCAGTGACCATAAATAACCAAACACTTGAAAATGTAGAACATTTCACATATCTAGGTAGTGTGGTGTCCCTACTGGTGGGGACAGAGGCACACTTTGTTTCTGGTTAATACTTGTTAGCAGTGATGCATTCCTAATTCATATCTTATAACAAACAGCATTCTGATCCTATCTATCTGAGAAGCCGAAATACTATCACTTCTAGTTAGGGCTAATTCCTCGTACGTCACTTTTCTGACTTGTCTATAGTGACCTGTTTACAAAGTGTAGTTAAAGCTTACAAGACTTATTTTTAATGATTTTGGCTGTGTTCACACCTGCGCAAACATTTAGGAGATCAAGGAGTGAAATATTACGTGATAATGGCATTAGGGGATTTTCCTTCAAACCAAACGGTTTTTTTAAAAGCCAAGTTGATGTCAGATTTTCACATAAGCCTCAGTAATAGAGATCATGGGGTCGTGGCATAAGTTTCCAGAAACATACATTTTTATGGCCCAGTGCAGTTTTTTCTATTCAGTGCTTCACTATTCATGTTTAACAGTTACCACTTTTATATATCTTTATATATTTTAAGCAAAAAAATTTTTTATACAGAATTTTAGGTGATCCGTGTAAAACTTGTTTTAACAAAATTTCTTTCGAGAATTCTCACGGGGTTATACCTACTTTCCGGCGTCCGTGGCTTAGGCGTTGCGAGTCAGACTCGTAATTCTGATGTTCCGCGAACGAAACCCACTGCTGGCTGCATGGATTTTTATCATGGTACAGGGCTTTGCAGGTCGACCCAGCTTAAAGTGGGTACCTTGATGTATGTCCTGGGGAAGTAAAGATGGCCGGCATAATGCTGACCACATTACCCACATAGTACCGATTGGTCTGTAAAAATATATGTGCTCTTCCTATATGCCTAATGCGCCTAAGGCGTGAAAAGGGATCTTTACTTATACCCACTTTTAAGCATTGCTGGGGTGAAAAGGCTGAACAAGTCTTCTGCATATTCCACGAGACGATTCAAAGAAAGGCTCACTCAGTTTATGTTGTGTTCTTTAGTCAATTGCCTGGGAACAATAAATCAGCATTTTCATGCATGATCACAATCATATGCTGTGCCTGATTTGCTTCCTCTTCTTTCTATCCCCCACTGGAGCATAGGCCCTCAACCAGCTCACACCAGGGTGTTCTATCCTTCGCTATTGAGTGCAGCTATGCCCATATCATCCCCATCTTTTTTAACTTCCTTCACTAGCTCCCTTCTGCCTGTTTTTTGGTCTGCCTTTTCTTCTGTGCCCCATGTGTATTCCTATGCAAGGACACTCTAGTTATATTCTCAAGATTTCTCAACATGTTTCCTCTTTCGCCATCATCTTGTCTTCACTACTCGGTCCACTGGAACTAGTTTAGTTCTCTCCCAAAGCTCAACAATATTAGATACTACTCTATCATGCCATCTAGTTCCCTCTATTCTGTTCAGACACCAGTTACTGAATGTTTATAGTTTATTAGTAATTGTTTGAGTTGTTAGATATGCCTGATAACTGGATGACAAGATGTCAGACCCAAAAAACTTAGAACTAGTCAGCATCACATTGTCACATGACAAGTAATCATCGAGGCTAAACAGCCGTCATCAGCATGTTACATGAATAGACAATGTTATAGTTACATACTTGAATACACAGACGAGAGCACTCCCCGTGTGGGTCCCAGGGCCCTATTATAAGTAAAACAATAATAGACCCACTGCCTTCCCGTGTGGGTCCTGAGGCCCTATTATAGGTAAAACAATAATAGACCCACTGCTAACCCAAAATATGTCGTAAGAGTTGACTTATTGGTAGCTTTCTTTCAAGTCGGAGTGCATGTATCTGAGAGGTAAGGAACCAATAGTCTGCATACAGTCAGATCTGTCAAATGGATGCACACACAACCATCAGGTTCTGTAACAAGACTGCAGTCCAGAAGTGGATGAACAATTAGAACTTTCCATCAGAGTTTACAGCCAGTGAAGAAGAGGAAGAAGACAAGAGCATTATGAAGGAAGCTAAAGAAGAATAAGAAACCAACACAGAACTGGTGTCATGAGCCGCTACCCACTGCGGCTTTTACTAAGAAGGGGATCCGAGCAGTTATGGACTCAATGGTTCCATGAGGATAATCTGTCGACTAACTAACATGAATACTTGAATGCATAAAATCACTAAACTAAACTATCTGTTGAAGAAATTCACATGTCTCTATGACCAGTTAAAGCTCTGACACGCATGTGATGACTGGAAAGATCAAATGAACAAACTTTATTTTCAAAGGGTCACAAAATGGGCATGCAGGCCTGTCTTACATTCGGCCCTTGCAAACAGCCGTCTTTCACACTGCAGTTGTATTTGATCAACATGTTTCCTGTAACGCCAGCATCTTGTCTTCACATCTCAGTCCACTGGTAGAAGAGGCAGACCAGGAGAAATTGATGGTGGATGGCTAAAGACATTGGAGATGCATGAATGCCTACACCATTTGGCAAGGCACTTGATGATCTTTTCTTTGTCAAAGTATAATAATGTTATCAGCATACATTGTTTTACCGATTTCACTACAGTTGTCAAAATGTAGAAAACTATCAGTAACCGATATTACAGAACTGTTCAATAGATCTAGATAGAATATCAGATTAGATGACTATCTGCTGCATTTGTGCACTACATTTATCAGAAATGGCTTCCATTGTGGGCACACATGGGGTTTAAGTATATGCATGAGATAATCAAAGGGCACTCTTTTATACACACAACCTCTTTGTCGCGATGTGTTTCAAACTTTTACCTCATGCTCCAGAGGTCGCAAGATCATTTCACAAGCTGTCATTTAGTTTTATTTTTGTTAATGCTTTGTTTGATGCTGCTGACGGTCCTCTGGAAAGACTGAGCCAAATAAGATTACACCTGGTGCAAGGGAAGTAGATCTTGTTCTTCTTTGCAATCACCAGCTGTAAACTGAAGACAGAAAGTTCTTGTTGTTCGTCCACCCACTTTAGTTTTGTTACAGAACCTGGGTGTTGCATGCATATCTGTTTTACAGATTCACTTATTTGTATGCAGATTGTTGGCTCCTTGCCTCTCAGACAGATGCAGTCCTACTTCAAAAGAAGCCCCCAATAAGTTGACTCTTATGACATGCTTGTTGTGGGTCTGTTCTTGCTTTTCCCACTCCAGGGTCCCGAACCGATGCAGGGAGTAGATTCTCTTGACTTTAGACCTTGAAGCAATTTTGCTGGGGTCCCAGTTGTGGGGACATAAAGGATGGAACTAATGATCCTTAACAGGCATGTTGTAAAAAGCAGCTGTAGAAGGGATATGCTGGAATAGAATGTGTTGGACCACAAGATGCAGATATAGGAGCCTAGAGGCTTACTGCAACACAACGTGCCAACCAACATTTAAAAGGTGAACACAGATGAAGAAACCATTTTAAAACTAAGTTAGTGATGTTTTTCCACACTGGAGTGAAGACCTTTTTCTGCTTCTTATTTGGTCATTTCACTGATACAGGTTGTTAGCCCAGTGTTGTGGTTTTCTGTATTTGTCTTGCACTTTTCAGGTGGCTTGGGTGATGGATTTCTTCTCTTTTTTGCAGATTTCAGCTACACTGTTTATCCATGTTTCTTAGTCTTTCTCCTAGATGAATATATCATAGTCAGAGAGCACATCTTGTGTCTTTTCAGCTGTGAAGC